CAGTGAGAACAGAATTTGTGAGGTAATTTACAGTGGTAATGAAATCCATAAGGGAGATAAAATGTAATAACACATCACCACTGTGAGGTTGCCAGGCAAACAGTAAGAAGTCATTCAGCTCTGCCAAGAAATAGTCATAACCGCTCAGTTTCATGAATATTAAACAATCAAGACATGTTCATTAGTCCACTTTAGAGAGCTTTTAGCCAAATTATGGTACCTTGGGACGATCTTTATGCTAATTTACGCTAACCACCTTCTTGTATACCTATTGAGCATTTAGTCAAATCTTGTTTATTTTTCAAGCTATTATCCAGCTGATAAATATCAACTTCAACTAAATAGTCTGATGTATATTTGTACTTGTAGAACATAAGGTAACATAAAGAAAATGAAAACACAGCAGCAGGTATAGGTATGGGTGTGAAACAAGACATTCAGAAAGGCACATTGTCCATATCATCACCCAGAAATAGTGCAGGCAGCTGTGGACCAATCAGCCACATGACAGAACCTCCCTCATTATATCCAGATCAGACTATAGCACCGCAGTAGTTATGGCCTTTTGAAGTTCTGACATTCAATTATAGCATCCCCAACAGGCAACTTAGTATAATTTCAAATGCTAGAACAATGCAAAAATCCATTGTTCCAAGTTTCTTCAACAGTAGACCCGTAATGTCTCAGGGTACATTTGAAACATGATGGATGGATGGATGTATAGATGAACATACAGGCTGTGCACTGTGCTTCTTAGTTTATATGGTCACTTGACATCTCCTGGCCTGCTCTTTCAGGTCTGCAGCCTTGTAGCTGAAGCTGCAGTAAGGACCTCTGGTATACAGAGGCTGCAAACAGCAGTGACAGGTAACTGTGAAAAATGTGAACTCAACTGAACCAAGAGATCCCAAAATGCCACGTAGGAGTGGCGCCTTCTCTGCGAGTCAGCCTTTGTAGGTTACTGTATGTCTCTGCTGTATGTGTCGATGAGCTCCATGTATCAGAAACGTCATGTACTTATTCACTTCATATTAGGACTTCACATATTTTATGTTCAAGCCAGAATTTTAGATGTGTACCTTGAAGAACTGGTGCTGATTTAAAGACAAATGCTGGTCACATCAAATATTGATTCAACTGAGCTTTTGTCTTTTTGCTTCATTTTGAACTTAATATACAAATAAAAACTATTCATTGCATTATTTTAAAAGCTTTCACACTTTTGTTTTAGTGCCTAAAAGATTTGCACACTGTACATTTACTGACTGATCTGAGGTGATAATTGTGATCTGTCTCTTTTTGCTTGACTTCCACCAAAGTGCACAGCGGGGGTTGATTGTGTCCTGCTTAAAAATACTTCAGTCAGCAAGGTGGATATTTGATACGGTAAAACTGAAAACATTTGACTGTTTTCCATCACGATTGTTTCACTGACAGTAAAAACACATTATTTTAAAAGCCCAGTGAGGGCAGAACATGTTTCAAACATTTAAAGACAACAACCTGATGGATTTGTTAACATCAAATCATGACCAGAAACAGGTAAAAGTGAAGCTTCAGACAGTCTTTACCTGACATCAAGAGGAACCGCTCCTGTAAGCTCTAAGCCAGCCTGTTGCCCCAAGTATCCCTACGACCCTCATGAAAATACCATGTGGCTACAGAGCAGCCTATCACAAGAGGGAGACACTTGCCGTGCTTCTGGATCCGTCCGTTTCAGCACCATAAAGAGGCAGCAGTAACCACTGGTGCACTGTGAGGATGAACAGAATTGGACTGATTACACATAAACAAACAAAAATGAGCTATGCAGATTCAGTTTCCAGGTATTGTACTACTGTATATTGCCATGCAGTGACATATACTGTACACTTGCATGCTAAGTGTTTGTGTACTTAAAGTACACTGTGCCTTTTATATGAATACATTCTATTGTATATTTTGTAATACTCTTTGCAACGTGCCTATATAGATGATGTGAAGTATATTTCAGTGGTTGTGACAGATGAGAATCATTGTCTTCTCTGCAAGGTGAGGGACTATGAAACATATGACAGAGTCAGACATACACGCCATGGATCACTGAGCTTTACTGCCTACCCCATCTATTTCTGTTGAAGCCATCCGGGCCCTCAACCACTCAGTCTGGTGCTTTATACTCCCTGCTCACCCCCTTTTATCATGTGTGTCTTGTCCCCTCACCTCACTGGGATATTAAAATCCACAAAAGCCTGTTGGAAAATAACAGCCTGCTGATGATAATGATGTGACACCTTATTGATCCCTGTTATAAAACTGTCCTTTTCTTGCCCCCTGTTCTATGAAGTGGTCAGAGGTCAGAGGTCAGCACCCCAGGGCCTGGTATCTGCTAATCAACTGGTGCCTTGCTGCAGGACACTTCAGCAAGGTGCAAAGCTGACAGCCAACTTAGTTTGTACTAGACACACCTGCTGCCGATTGTTTTAAACTACTATAATCTGTCTTGTCTTAAAAACAATAGATTAATAAAATAAAGCATACAATCTAACACCAGATCCTGTTGGTAATTTAGAGCAACTGTACTGCAAAAAATGGTCTTATTAAGCCATTTGTTCTACATTCAGGTGTTTTTAACAGGGTCATTGCTCCTATTGAGGTCAACTTGATGTTTAAAGGGGTTTAGTAACCACAGGAAGGAGGTTGCTTTCTACAGATAAAAACTTACATGTGGTATTTTAGACAAACTTTCAGTTTGACTAAAACTTTATTCTAAAGACCAGCCATTTTCAAACAATGATTCAGAGACGTTTTCAGAAAATAACTTTGGAATTGAAAGTATGGACAAAATGAAAATATAAGGCATTCATATATGTATACGTTTTAAAGCATTTAAATATTCTAAAATTTAACATATTTAAACCATTTTTTCTTAACAATATTGTTTCATCTCATTACTATCAGTACATTTAACTGGAATATAATTGTATTAGTGGTAGTTATTTTTGCCCAGTTGCATTTTATCTTGTTTTATCTGTTTTCATTCTCTCAATTTCTTTGATTTCAGTGTATTTTATTTTGTATTTTATTGTAAAATACTGCGCGAAGCCACTTGTGTTTCCACGTTGGGTGCTACACAGATAGAATTGCTGTGCCTTCAATGTACCGGGAAAGAAGTTAATGGAACACGTGGAATTAACACATCTTGCTCTAAAAATGAACGCAGACATTCAGCATTAGATGAGCTGACTTGTTGGAAAGGACTTTTTTTTTTGCAGTGCGCTTGTTTTTGCGTAAAGCGCTGCTGCTGCGCACGGAACATCTCCCTCTCTCCCTCGCTCTGCTTGTGTCGATTTTTTTCACCCTTTGCTTCTAACCATCATCCACCCCCTCCTCCTCCTCCTCCTCTCCTCACTCCACTTCTATCTGAGCTCTGCGAAGAAGAAAAACGAGGAATCCAAGGATTGATGTATTGCTCGACTTGAATTTTTATATTTTTGCAGATAACTCCCCACGCCTAACTGCACTGCTAAAAACCATTGCTTTTGATGATTCCTGGCGATTTTTATGTGATGACAGTCAACGGCTGTGCGTGTATGTGCGCTCGTTGTGCACCAGCTGACCGTGATATTGCCGTGTAGGACCGTTTGGATGGTGGAGGAAGAGACTCTGACGCCCCGGGAAGCTTCATCCATCCCTCCGTGTCTTCTCCACTCCTGCGACCGGCTGCATGACCGGTGATGCTCGGCCTCTCCGCCTGGATGCGCCTCTCTGTCCGCGGTGTGCCGTCGGTACCGCTGCCTGTATCCCCCTATAACAGATTTCCACTGTCGCTGGAGAAAGGTCTAGGGACCACATATGGAAACTGGAGATCAGAATTTTATGAAAAAGGAAAGCTATGAAGGCTATCGTTTGATTTTCATAACTTAATTTTTTTCCTTCTCTTCTTTGCTTGATTTTTTTTTAAATTTTATTTATATTTATTTATTTATTTTAATTTGGAGAGGGGGTTGATCGTTCCTGGTTGGTTTGTTTCCTTCATGTCTTAAGAAATGGCTGGTTTTCACAGCACTCATGGCACCAGCTGATTATTTGGCATTATTTATCATCCTGTTCTTGATTCTGCTGGTTTGATTCTGTTCTTTAATCTCTTTCAGTACATCCAGGTGTTATTTGTCAACCCTTTCTGAGCTCTGGCTGTCCCTCTTGCATCTCCCCTCACCCTCTTCCCACAGAATACATGTGATAGCCTGATTGTACAGAAATGCCTCCAAATGAGCCTCCAAAATTCACTGATACTGGGTTACTTGAAGGTAGTCGAATCCCATCCTGAACTGTGTCATCATCTGTTGGAGGTCTCCTTTGCCTTTTTTTGAGGGGCCATTTTAAAGAAATCAGGCCACCAACTGTGTTAGCCTTAACCACCCTCCATCCCCACACACATCATGTTTCTTCATCCCTTTTCAGTATGAATTGATTCACACTGCATGCACGTGTGTGTTCGTCACTGTACAGGTGTGTGCAGGTGAAACTTTGGCTCTGTGAGCAAGTGTGTGTGTGTATCTGAACAGTACAATGACAGCATAGACTGCATGTGACAACCTATGTGGGAACAATTAAGCGCTACATTCACATGATTCCATTCATCACTGCTGAAGCTGTGAGGATTGTAACACATGTACCTGCTTTAGTGAGCTCAGAAAGCCAAACTGAGGCCTGAGATGACCGCAGACGCAACGAGCTAAATCCTCCATCTTCACATTAGCTTGGCCTTATTCAGAGTTTGACGTTTAGAGGGCTTCCAACTCAATGAAGTAGGCCTAGATCCCAGACCAGTTCTTCTGTGGGATCTGCTAGAAGTTTATGTTTTTTGGTCGGCGTTTTTTTCCAAAGCAGGGCAACTTACTGCCACTAGAGGACTAGAATTTGTAACTTTTCAAACTGGGGGTTCTGTTGTCCCTGCCAAAGTCTGTTTGACCCAGGTGTTGGGCCAAACAGTCACCCACCCACCCCCAAACTCGTCCGCCCGACGCTGCTCGCCCCCCGTGTTCCGAGCTGGCGTGGCGACGCAAACTCACAAATATTTACTTCCTATACATCAAGAGGAAAGGGGGCCCCCCTTTCGTGGAATGCGGCAACATGGGTGTGTTTGACCGCGGAGTTCAAATGCTGCTGACCACGGTGGGGGCCTTCGCTGCCTTCAGCCTCATGACCATCGCTGTGGGGACAGACTACTGGCTGTACTCTCGTGGCGTCTGCAAGATCAAGAGCACTAATGAGAATGAGACCAGCAAGAAGAACGAGGAGGTGATGACGCACTCGGGCCTCTGGAGGACCTGCTGCCTGGAAGGTGAGCCGGAGATGTACAGATATATACTGTACGTGCACAGATAGAGCAACAACACCCCACTCAGGTACACAGGCAAATCGATGACTACATGCCCACACACACACACACACACAATCCTGCATTTACACTCACATGCCTACACATATGCACACATGCCAACACGAATCACTATGTTCTCTGCATCCAGCATTTCCACACATGTATACGCTCACTCTCTAAACCACACACGCACAAATCTATCTATCTGCACACTTCCTAATAATAACATGCAACCTCTGACATCATTGCTTGTTTTGCCAAGTATTACAATCCATTCTGTATCTGCACTGTCTTTCATTCCAAAACAATATCTTTCATTTGAAAAATACTTCTTTCTCTTTAGTAAAGTACAAGGACATTTAGCCTAGTGCTGAAATGTTGAACAGTAAATACAGTTTCCTCCTTAAAGATTATAAGGACAAAGCTTCCACCAAATAATCATTTTGGTTGTATTCTTGTCCAGGCTGTGGGTTGTCAGTCTGGTCTGTCATGACCGTTGTGCAGATTGCTCTTTTAATCATCCCAGCAGAAAGCAACTCAGCTCATTAAGCAAACTGCCAGACCAAACCCCGCAGGGCACATGAGGTCCACTGAGGTGTGCAGCTGACTTGTATGGCCATCAGTCCCGTTATAAGCTTGTATTTTTTGTCATTTTACACTTTATTGGAAGTGTCATGGTGTCACATACTTGCATTGTTCTTGGATGATGAGTGATAAAGCCAACAGGAGACTACCAGTCAGTGTCCCCCTGCACTGTAATGAATTTTTAAATATGGATTTTGAACCCCATTTCTGATAGAGGAACCACACTGAGGAGGAAGAATTACTGATACCTATAACATTCCATCCATATACTGTATATGGGTAGTATAAAATATACTACGCATAGAAGATATATTTCAAAAGGTTTCCTGTAATCAAGCAAGTGAAAGTCACCACCTTGTATTACTTTATGTTGATGATGAGGTCCGACTGCGCCGCACACTGTTGTGTGTGGGGCCTTGGTTAAAACCATTATCTGATTGTGTGATGGCTTTACAGGTAAAAGAAAAAAAAAACACTGAAAAAATTTTAGCTTCCTCCTTAGTGAAAAAAGTTGCAATTTGAAATAGTGACTGTAAAGAAACTGGTATATACATTTGTTAGGGAGCTGAGATCGAAATCAGTTTAAATGGGGCATAAACTTAACTTTGCCCTATTTGACGTGTCTTTAAAGACATTATTGAAACATGCATCCAAAAAAGGGCTGGATGTGTGTATGAGAGACGACATGCATGCATGTGAAACAGCTAAATAATCACATCATGTGTGAAGCAGTGTATTTCAGCTTGTTTCTAACACTGACCTTAAACTCGAGTTCTAACTCTCCAATAATTAAACAGTGGGCCAAAGTATTCTGAAGTTTAAAACCTGAGCTGTGTCTTACAAGGCTGGCACACACAGAAGAACACACCCACATACTTACACCATGCCTGTGCGATGCATCTTCATCCTGAATCACACAATAGCCAGATTCACCTGATTCACAGGACAAAGTCATCAACTGGTGACATGGATTCCATGCATTTATATGATTTCTCCCACAGTAAGACTCTTATTGTTGTTAATATGGGTTCATGAGAGTAGGAGAGGCAGAGATACCGAGAACAAAAGATGATTTAACTTGGAAACAGCTGCCCTAGTGCCATATTTTCCCATTGAAGTGCTAATATGTACCCAATGCACTAACGCTGTCTTCATGTTATATGGAAGCTTTTATTGTAAATACCTCCACATCAACACTGACGTCAGTTACCTGAAGTGACAAATGCTGCTGAGACAAAACTCTTCACTTAGCTTGATGTCATAATAAGTACCCACCTACAGTATTACGCATGGACTGGCTGTTTGTGGAACTGTGTGCATTCACACATGGTGTCGATGCTGTGACGTCTCTTATTGTGACCTCACATTGTCACCCTGGTTAAGTCAGACAACCTGATCCTGTCACGCAGTTGTTTATGTATCGTCACGAGGCTTTAATGCAACACTTACATCTTCTTTAATACAAATTACAATGAGCTCTACACCTCCGTGTATGAGTAATCATACAGAGGCATGAATAGCGCAAGTCCCTGTACATGTAGTTATCTTCACGTACTCTGCATCCATGCTGCAGCGTGATGGAACAGTAAGCTCTTTGCAACATGCTAGCCTAATTTCCAGATCTGACATTACAGAGAAATGAGCAACGCTGGAGTTCAAGTAAAACACATGACATTTAAATTTTGTAAACGGTTGTTAATTTAATGTCAGTTCACTTGTCAGCTAATGAAATCTAACCCCTTATTTTGTAGAAAAATGCTGAAGCTGCAGCCTTGTCATTTACTTTTGTCAGCTATTTTTGCACCTGACTTCATGACATTATACTCTGATCTCATGCTACACGCTGTCATCTTTACTGTTTCACACATTCACCTTTTCTGCAGCTTCATGCAGTTATTTTACACCAAAGTTTATACATATCTAACATTTAGCTAATGTTTTGTTCCCTTGTGTGTGGTTCATAGCAGGTTAAACTATTCCTGCATCTGGGTCTTTTCAGGTTCTGAGAGGTGATATCCTGCTGCTAACAAGGCAGATGTCACCGTATGCTGTGCATGTGCAGTGAAGCTGAAACATTACAACAGAAAGGCAGCTGTAAATCACAACTAACAGTAATCTCCAGCAGCCCCCCAAAAATACATTTTCTCAGCGTTCCTAAGTACTAAATCTTGGCCTTCTTCCTTTGTCACATCTTTATTCTGCTGCAGTAGCTAACTTCGTTTTTAATATAAGCCTACAGCTGCTGAACAGACTGAAATATATATCTTGAAATGCTGTGGACGGTTTCTTCACTTTCTCCTAAAACAAATCTTCATGAAACTGCATTTTATGATAGTTATTTAAAACAAGTTTACCCAACCATGTGCCTTTTTGTAACCAAACATATTTTCCTAGCTAATACTGTTGCTACCATTTGATCTGTTTGGCTTCTAAGTCACACAGACATCCACAGCTTTGCTATCATTTGTATGACTACTTCTCCTGCTTGCCATAAACATCACAGCTTGATTCTGTGTTATGCAGATTGCTACTATTTTAAAGCTTCTGAGCTTCTGGCTATAAAATGGAAACACATTTTACCTGGTTCCAGTTTGTTTCCATCAGTTTTACGGTTGATTTTACATTTTTATTGATCTTCTTGGACTCTGTCAGTCTTGCCCCTGGCAACATCTCAAACCTATTGATGCTTAATGAGGTGACAAGGTCAAGGTCAAGGCTCTGAGGACTAAAATAGGACAGGCCTGGCTATTCCACTGTGTAAGTCTAGCTCTAAGTAAAAGAAAGTGGCACAGCTGTGACAGGAAACTGTGGCGGAAATTTAATGTCAGGTGAAAAATATATGGCCCTGCTGGCAGCTGTTAGTCATCTGAGTCCTCATCAGAGTAAAGAACATGTTTGAGGAAGCAGAGGGTGTTTGTAAATCTCATCACTGGACAGAGGAGAACATGGGGGACTTTTAAAGGCTTTCAGGTCAAACCACGCTTCAGTTACAGAATGAAATAAAAGACTATTTGACTGGCAGGACACTATGTGGCTGCAGTTCAGAAATGTGTTTGTTGTATTTCTTCAACCATATTAAAGTTAAGTCGCTGTAAACTTTTTTCTATGCTTCCTCTCAGTCCACACGTGCACAACAGCCTTCAGGCAGCACATCTGAAGTGCAAGTGTATTTAAATCAACACAGCTGCGGCTGTGCTCGTTTACATCGGTGTTGGTAAATACATCGCTAGGTAAAAAAATTGCAGAGCCTCAATAGCTTAAGCACCTGATGGTAAGACACAAGAACACACCTACAGGTTGTGACACAAATGCAAAGCGTTTCTCTTTCCACTAGTAAAACAAGACTCAACTATGGTTGTATGAAATGTGGAAGGGACACGGAAGGTCATTTCAATCGCCAAAGAGCAGTTTGGTAGCCCTGCAGCAGGAAACACTCTCATGTAGGCTCTTTGACCTGCCACCACAACCTCTGCAGTGTTGTTTGGTAATAAAATATAAAATAAAATAACAGCCAACACAGCATCAGACCCACACTGGTCATGCTTTTTGCTGACGAGCTAGCCAATGCTAGCTCGTCAGCAAAAAACAACCACATACCTGAAATGTCTTGATGATTAGTAGTTAGTGACAGAAATGCCTTAGTGTTGTAAACACCGGCCTCTGGAGCACTAAAACTTTGCTCTCCCTGATCTATTGTCATTGATGTTGAAATACTAATGCTAGCTAATGCCTGTATTCAAAAGGAGCTCAGGCTCTTTGTTTTCAGGTCACATACATCATCCAGGATGAACACGAACTAAAGATCATAACTGTCCGTGACAGAATAAAAGAACCTCATAAATGCCAATGGTTTATTTAGTTCATGACCAGCGAACAGAGGTGTGTTATTGTAGTGAATCTTTTGTAGGCCTACATGTTTTTATCCAAGCATCACAAACAGTCTCTTAAGAAGCAGCCGGTTTTATATGAAGTTATTTCAAACAAAATAATAAATTATAAATAAATAAAATAAGTACCTCGTTTCATACCAGTGCTTTTCCAAGCTCTGTTGATAATTGGCTAATTTGGTGCAGGTGTAATAAAAGCAACCTGTGATCATTTTAAATATGAGGTCATGGGAATTCGTTTAAGTGTGGAACTACTTGGGCGCTGGTTGGCTGTGGGTTTGAGGACAGAACATGTTTAGTTTTTTAAAACAAAAAACAAAATCTGGGCCGAGGTTGCAAAATTGTATCAAATCGCCAGCACATTTGTCGATGTGAATGCTGCCACGCCAACTCACTCCATGTGACATGCTTATTTTGCTCGCTAAGTGGCTTTACTTTTCACACTCTAAGCTCGCTCCGTGTCCTTGGCATCGCTCAAGATTTGAAATG